TGATCTTAAGCTTGTTGCCGATAGAGGGGCCTTCGGCTCGTGCTGCCGTTTAAATCACTTTCCATACACGGAGGCAACAAAACTGTTCCAATCCGCACACAGTTCATATCCTTTGTTCCAGTTTCCATCAGAGAGCTTGAAAATTGATGTATCAGTGACGCGGCCACTCAGTCGGCATTGTTCTTTAATAACGCTCTTATACTCTTACCATTGTGGCATGTGTCCTGCATCACGTGATTCATTATCCGAATAGTCGTTTTGCACTGGACCTTGACTTGACTAGAAGGAGGAGGGCAAGGACCTATTTTCTTCCAGAATGCTTCTTTAGCACATGTCATTGACTCTGTTTCGTGATCATCCGTTGTCTCCAGCTTGAAAAACAGGTGTGTCTTTCTCGGTCAAGTGACGGTGCTTCGTGTTTTTTCTATTCAAAATTTCCCACAGTTACGTGGTAATTTGTAAACCCACCCGAGCAAGAATTATTCTGAGCTGCTTAATTAAATGTAAAGTTTATTAATCCCTTTTGTACTACATTAGTGTTATGTAGCATAAATATCATATGTTCGCACGCCCGGTATGTCAGATAACGAGTGATTCTTCCTCAATCAGACTTCACAGCTCACTGTACCGCCCCTTTGCTTACAGTTGCCTAGTGGGCATTGTGTGGTGCATCCCGCATCGTACTTCCCAAGGCTCTGCTACCGTTACTACTCATGTTGTAGCATAGAGGGAGAATCAGCTCTTGAACCATCGTTCGTAACGAGACGAGGTGGCCTTAGCAGACAGAATGATGCCAGATGCAAATTGGAGCAAATGGGCGGTGCAATACCGTGCACTGCCCTTGAAATCGGGTTTTTGAGCAGTCATCATTAGATATTATAATTATTGTAAAGTAACCCGTGTTGTTTAACACCATGATACGTGAGAATTAAACAAGATTTATTATTCAAAATATCAATCTTGAATTTACTGATACTAAAAGTTAGTCATACATTATTCTTAGATCAGTGCGACCGGCCGATAATCAGGCGTCACAACAATCGTCATTTCTCGCGGTTTTGAGCTTTCTCTTTCTAAGCGCTGCTTTTGCGGCACCTGATACAATCGTCCCGCGGTTTTAGTGCTTGATCAAGGGACCTAAACCTTCGCCGAACATCTCCCATCGATAGCCGAGCAACATGCCCGTCGCACCATAGCGTCTTCCTTCTGTCTTCGATGATAGCGTCCTTCACTCCCGTTCCTGATGCCACAATAGCATTAGCTCGAGACTCTTCAAAGTTAGCAGTGATTTTCGCTAAGGGTTTGCTGTGTCCCTTCCTGTTAGTGCTGTAGATGGGTAGGGTAGTTAGGAGAAGTAAGGGTGATGAGAGTATCAGAATTGGAAATGTCGAGACGAAAAATCTGCTGTTTGTAGACGATCTTGTTTTGTTAGCATGTTGTGAAAGCGATCTTTAGTGTTCTCTGAAAAAATTGCGCAGTCCAGTGAGATGTTTACAGTATTCTTGGGAACACGTCAGAAACAAAAGGCAAAGTGCTTCCTGCAGATAAGCGGAGGAGCAGTGGAACAGATGAAGAAGTTCAAATACTTCCGAATCTTGTTTACTGGAGATGGGCAATGTGACGAGGAAATCGGCTGGGCAGTCCGGATAGCTAGCGGTGTGAGTAAGACAGAGCTGACTGTGAGTTTATGTAGACTATCATCCCCGTGCTCACCTACGAATCATGAATCTTGGGTCATAGCAGAAAAGTTGGGTGGTGGACAAAAGCCACTTAAATAGACGTTCAAAGAAAAATTTTTGTGCTCACGTGCTCCAGCAGGCCTCAGCGTTTAGATATCCTTGTAAATTTAGCGTAAGCAATTGTTTGTAAAAATTGAGACGTCGCAGCTGCGGAGGTTTGGATATATTATGCAAATCCTTCCAGAAAAAAAGCGAAACACACACTCAACCGACCGGCGGAAGACTCCGAGAAGACCAAAAAGTACCTGTATGAACTCTGCTCCAAACTCGAATTTCCCTGTTTCGAAGCCAATGCGCTGTCACAGACGCAGGAATGTTGAAGATGATGCTCTTCGCTGCAGCCTTCGCGACCCTAAATGACACCAGCCTGTAGAAATTGACGGAATGAGTGATACATTAACAAATTCATTGAAGCTCTACATTGTAGCAGAGTTCTTGGAGCGATCCGGTTGAGTGCCTTTTCATCACAGTCGCGATGATTTTTCTTGTAAGCTTTTCCCGAGAACCGGAACAAAGGCTTGTTGATACGTGCAATTTGACAAATCGCTTTTAGGAGAATTGGGACAGCAAATTTGACAGCAATACTGCAACTCTCATTAGTGACCGTTTTCGCTCGTCAGAAAAATCAAACTGAATGTTGCGACTCATGAGGGTCACTTTGTGTCAACGGATAAATGACAAATAACGAAGAAGACAAGAGACAAGTAGGGTAATTTACCCCTTTATACACAAATACCAACAAGGTATTGAAAATGCCAATTGAAATGCAATGCGTCTCTCCATTAAGTTTTCTGTCTTAGCTCGTTACGTTTTCTTGGTAAAAATATGGCTAATCACTACTTATAGACAATGAATTTACAAATACTCATAACGCATAACTCAGCTGACAAATTTTGGTGAATTCCCTTCAGTGAAGTGATTTGAAACGGGGTGAAATAGCTTGTAAAATCCACGGGGATGCTATATCGTGAAGACGCACGAAAGCTGATATGTTTCGTTTCCTACCTGGCTGGTTGACACAGAACATCATCTCACCACTAAGATTATCTTCTCACCTAATCGCAAGAACATACATACAGCAATCTAAGGATTTTCGCATGGTCTTCGGATATTACAAAAGGATTGCGGTAGAGGAATAAGAACGACAAGATCATGTAACCATAAATACTGGTGCAAAAACAGTAATTTAGGTTCTCCCAAAACATTTCAATGAAATGATGGTACAGTGAGAGTTAAAAACAAATACGACGAAACAAACATACCTTCCTTGGGCCAGGATTTGTCAAAGATCCGGACTGATTCGATTTCTGTTCCAGATGATGGAATGTGTGCTAAGAAGTTGTAGAAAACAGTTCAGTATTACCGACTCTATGTAGATGATCTAGTTCGGTATAACAAACGCATAGAGGACATGACGGCGAAAATGGAATGGTCTGCAATAAAACCGGTATTGCCTCAGTTCGAATAATACGAAATACAACGTACGCTTTTTCAGTAGAGAGAAAAGAGGCAACGCCATGCAAATGAGTTCCATTTGCCTTCTAGAAAACCCCAATATTATCAAATTTCCGTTTCATCCTCTAAGTTGGTGAAAATTATAAGTTGATCGAGAAAAAAAGAGATGGCTCAAATGGAGGGGTGAGCAATGTAGAGCGTAAGAGAAGATATCCGTGGAACTTCAAGGGAATGCACATACAAAATAGCATGAAGAAGTGAAACGTATCACAGCGGACAACGACCACTTTGAAAAGAGAGTAGCAGCAGCCGAAAGCAGCAGAACTGATAATGATCAACTGAATGTGGTACTCAATGATGCGGTCCTGAACAGCACACTAATCTACGTCGCAAAGATTAAAACCTTTAAACCTTTAAAACCTCAGTAGAACAGCTATGGACTGAGAAACGCGAAG